TTCTCTCTTCCTGTTTTATTTAAATAGTTAGAGTTTTGTTTTACCTTCCCTCCCATCTCATTGTCCTTGATTGCTTTTACCTGCATCTTGATACCCAGCTGTGTTCTTGTCTGCTGTTCTTGCCCTTCTGTTTATACACAGTGCTGCCTTCCCTTTAGGGTTTGTCAGTGTCTGTTTACATTCTCCATGTGCTGCTTATGCCTGTAAATACAGTTTATAGTTCCTTTTTTCAATTTATGTTTTACTTTTTGAACTCTTTAACAGCCTAATAAAACTGCTTGCTTTTTGTTGAATCCAGTTTGCCTGCCATATCACACTCCACACAGTCTGCATAATCTGTAGATTGTAACAGTAAGATAAAAAAAAGGGTAGGTCAGTGGTGCAAATAACCACAATTCAACATGAATTTCGAGTTAATAAAAAGGAACTGACTCCATGTGACTTGGTATATTGTCCAATCTATTCAGTTCAGTATTCTGCTTGTCTTTAATCAGTTTCCTCTTTAATGCAATATTCAAAAATTGCATTTTCTCATGTGTTTCTCATTTGAACACACTGAAATTTAACTACTAAATAACAGTAAAATTATGCTATTATTTAACTGTTTTGACCAGTTTACTATAAAAGATATACACGTTTTTCACAACTGGAGGTGGTGTTGTTTGCAAGTAACATGCACTATGTGGGCAGCATTCGAGGTCTTGGGCCATTCTGTTGGTGGAAAGATTTTCTAAGACGAGGTTGTGGTATATTGCAGTCCCTGATTCCAGAATGTCATAGGTTTACTACATTAATTAGAGACCCTAATAGTTGTCATTAGTGATAACAGAATGGACTCACATCTTCTTTTTTTTCCTCACCAGTATATTATATTGCTGAGTCAATCTCCATCAATATTGGTAGGTAGACTGCCAAACCGTGTCAGAGCATGACTTGTGGCTTATAAACTGCCATAGGTCATCCTCCTGAGATGTTCTTCTCAATTCCGACCATACAGTAGCAACATAGTTGCATAGAAGCAAAAAGCAACAAAACTTAACATCCACAATCTCTGACAAATGTTGTTGTCATTGGTGTTCTTATCTACTATTAAGAAAATTAGATTATCTTTGTATTGGTTTGCTGTTTGGCTTGATTTTTAAAACAAGAGCAACATTTGTGATTATTACACAAATGGTTTATTTGTTATTTTAATTTTAAATATTGTCTCTTTGTCATTTATTATATTATTGATGTGTGTTTTATTTTCATCCTAAAGGTGGGAATACCTTTTTAAAAATTAAAGATGTATATATCTGGGGATAATTATGTTAATTTTTAGTCAGGGTTTAGTCAGTTTAGTCAGGGTAAATTTGTTACTTTCTCAATTGGGAAAAAAAAAAGGTTTGTAAAATTGTTTAATAATTCAGTGCTGGTGTCTATAGCTATATTCAATTCAGTCTGCTGAAGAAAGGGAATAAGGAGTAACTGAGAAGGGATGTAATGGTGGTAATCAAGCTTGACAGGGGAACATGAAAGGAAGGAGGAAACATGATCTAGTAGCTAGTACAGAGAAAACGTGAGGTTAGGGGAATGAAAGGCAAAAAAAAAAAGTCGGGGCAAGAGCAAAAAGACTAATAAAAAGCTAAAGGGTGATGTTACAGAGAGAAAAGTAAAAGGTAAAAAGAAAGAATAACACAAAGTAATTTAGGAGCAATAGAAAAAAGAAATGCAAAGTAAGGAAAATAATCACGAACTGCACTAAATCTTCAGAAAAGTGTAGAAATATGGGGCTTGCAGCCACTCTCCTTCCTGTAAAGTCATTTAGGACTAAAGCAGCAGGGATTTGTAGGGTTTGAAGATGAACACAAAACCCATTTTCCCTCATGGCTACATCTGCCACTATGAATTTATATGGCTGTTGTAGTGAAGAGTAGAGAAAAAATGTGATCAAACATGAGGGAGAATGGAAACTGAGAGACATATAGTAATCAAGCAAGAGAGAGAGAAAAAGTGGGAACAGTGGGAAGTGCAGAGAAAATTGCTGTGAGATTAGATGATGAGGGAAATTTGAGAGAGAAAAATAGAAAGGTAAAGAAAAAAGTATTTGAAAGACAAGTTCACCAATGCAACTTTTCAGAGAGTCTTCCAGTATTTTCCAGTATTTCCATAATAGTTGGTGATCCAACATGATGACAAGCAGTACTTACCCAGTCAAATCTAAAAATAGGCATTAATTAAAACATACCAAAGTGAAATCAATCTCTCACCTTATGTCTCAGGAAAGCATTGTACTGTGAAACAATGGAGTCTGTAGTTTCTCTCATGTTCATGGACGCGTGCAGGTTCTGTTAACAAAAACTGGAGGAGCTGTTTGCACGTGCACATTGCACAAGCCGCAAGCAAAATGAACAAGTTACACTGTGATTTATCATCTCAGCAGAAAGGTTTTCTCTTGTTAAGCACGTCAGCATACATGTGTGATGTTGAGGAGTTAAACTGCAGTGTGAATAAACTTTTTATAACTCCTTTAAGGACTCCTTAAGGACAACTTTCACAGAGATGGTTCAGATGACGAGAGGAGACATCTGCTGTCGACAAAAAATCAAGTTCAGTAGGTGCAGGCTCCGCTAGATATTTTCATATTAGCACATAATCACTTGCTTGACCGGATGTGCTAAGTTTAACTAGATATTTTGATACATACATCCATCAAATGCTTTAGTAATGGTTTTTAATCCCTCTGTGGACCTCTGGAGAGATCTATCATTCCACACAGTGCTCAAGCCTTTTATTTCATCTCTGAATTTTTCCGTTGTTATAAAAATATATCTCCTTATGCTTTTTTATAAATTCAAAGTTTTGGCCTTTTGTCTGTTTTCCCAGTTTTCAGAGATATGTTCTCCTCACATGGCAGCCGCACTACAAAAAATACCACAGAATTTGATGGATTTCTGTAGACCTACTACAACAACAGGAAATACAATTTCTTTTCAAAACCCAGTTTCACTTGTAGTTTCCACAGCAACCACCTGACACTTCATTATAGATCAGCACTTTTTTTTTAATTTAAGTGGGATAATTATGGGTTTTCATGGCAAACTATGTTATACTATATAGATCCACTGTAGAGTGTATAATCACATTTTCATAGAAAGTGACAATTAATATTTTAATTTCACTTTAAGTGGATATTGAGGTGAACTAATACCTATCTATGTAAATGTTTTAGGCAGCATTTTATCCATATTATTTTCATTTTTGACAATCATTTAATGCTTGTCCTACCAAACCATCGAATGTGACACCATTATTACCCTGTGCCTAAAATTAAATGTCAGTCTATTTTTTTTCCTGTTGTTTAGAGGAAACCATTGCAGACGAAAAATACTAAGGGGAATTTGAGAATATATTTCTCCAAAGCTACCATTCTTTAGGAGATTAATGGACAAGCATGTGTATGATACTAGTCCTCTCTGCTGCCTCACCCCTCAGCATATTTGATTTATGGACACTCGGCAGTGCATGAGTTCTAATTTGAAAGGGGTTTGTTTTCAGTCATGAAGATGGAATTTTAAATGTTGTGATGAATGAACCCTTGTGGTTTTTATTTATTACTCTGTTGTGGTGTATTTGTGCGTGTGTGTGTGTGTGTGTGTGTGTGTGCATATGATTTTCTGTGTTCCTATTTGTGCATGTATATGTGCATGTGCCCGTATAATTTTGTAAATATAGCCGCACTGTTATTTATGTACTTGGAAAAGTGCTGACGCTGTGTTTTCTGTCTGACATTATAAATTTATCACCCTTAGGTAACTATGTCTTGCAGAATTCAATATTACGTCTCACCTATTGGGGGCCAGTGTGAAAAATCAAAGAATAAGTCATGCCCTCCGGTACTTCCAACCATTCTGTCTGTGCATATGGATTTACGTTATCATCCAACAACTGCGTATGGCGCGGTGTTTGATGTTTCTGTGGTCAGATATTGAATGAACCTTGGAGAAATGTGATGCTCCTTGGTGAATTTACAGGGGTATAGTAAGGGCTTAGGGAAGAAAGAGAGGGCAAAACGGGCTAATAACCTTTGTGTATTGGTATGTGTGCTCATTCCGAGGGGGGTTGAGATGCAACATTGCTACAAAGAAAATTATTTATGCTGAACCTCTGTCTGTAGTTGTTAGTGAGACTTCAAATAAGGAATGGAAACAGCAGTGGCATGTACATAGTATAATGCAAATCATTTATTCACTTTATTGATTTGATTTGCAACTCATGATGTAAAATGATTCCTGAGAACTGCAGAGTTTGGTTTGTGGTAGTTTTTAGTATTATTTATTTTTATTGTGTTTTATATCTGCTGTACATGTTCAGTTCAGTTCACTGTATTCCATGTGCCGAATACAGTGTGTTACATGTATCTGTAGCCTTCCTATCTTCTAATGGCTTGCTGATGTCTTCATTGCTATAGGGCTATGCTCTGTTTTCTTCCTCTTTCATGTATAAAATACTTTCGCCCCTCATCAGCTTGTGTTGTCTCATAGAGACTGGAGATAGAACATAGAAGCCTAGTTACCATTCATATTAACAAATTGAGTATACATACATTAAATCTGTGAAAATGTGACATGCTTGTTGATTAGATCAAACTTGCAATACCCTTTTCTCCACAGTGTGAGATTATTGTTATTTTTAAAGACTGGTACAAATAGACTTTCTCAGAACTCTGTTAGCCTCATGTTGCTTTGAGAACTCTCATGTCAAAGTGTTGATTGCCAGACCTCCTTTATTAGCTGGCAAATTGTGCTAATTGGCATTCAGCCTAATATAACTGGCACTGAGGCGGTGATTATAATTGTTATTATAAGATGCAAAGCCCTCTCTTTATTTTGCAGTTTGTAAAATTAAAGCTGGTTACCAGTAAAATATCTTAAGTTCTCTGAATTTGCTCTCATTAAGAGTTGTCGTTGTGTGCCTTCCTGATATTCAGTCTTTTTCTCCTTTGTTTTACTTTTATCCAGGGAGGCCTCATAGCACTCCTCCTCCTAATCCTCCTTTTCACCCTTGTGCTGTATACCCGCCATCGATGGTGCAAGCGTCGCCGTATCCCCCAAAAGAGTGCAAGTACCGAGGCCACACATGAGATCCACTACATTCCCTCCGTTCTGCTCGGACCGCAGGGCCGTGACAGTTATCGGGGTTCTCGAAGCACACACCAGCATGGCAGCTCTGTCATTGGAATGCCTATTCGTGAGACTCCAATTCTTGACGATTACGACTGTGATGACGAGGTGGACGCAGGCGGGCACTCACTTAACTCCACACCCAACCAGATCCACAACAAGCTTAGTGATGGGAAGGTCCTAGATGACTATGGAGTTGGCATCCAAGGACATCCAGATATGATGTGCAAAGAAGACGATATTAAGCATAATTTTGACAAACGAGGTAGGTTGGTTGTCTGAAAGACATTCCCCTTGAAAATAAAATTAGAATTATGGAAATATGAACACTGCACGCATGAAATTAAGATTTATGGGATCCCTGTCATATTAACTGCATGATGTTGGTTTTGTTCCTATCATGCAGCTGTGAGCAACATACTAAAAAAAAGAAATGGCAGGTGTCATAGGAAATGTGTCGTGCTCAGTGGTAGCTGTGCTGCTTTTATGAGCATGTTTTGTACATCCATAGAGTGTCTCTGTGCCAGGTGCTTAGATTACTCAGCATGGACATTTCACTTGGCTAAGGCCAGCCCACCCATGTTGTTGATTGCACAGCATGTACTGCTTATAGTTTTTCAGAAAAATAAGTAGTTTTGTATGATTCCTGCCATCATCTAACATTTGCAACGATACTATCTTTAAGTTGGTCCTACTGTTTCCTACTAAAATAAGGAAGCCACAGTCTCAAACATACACTGCTGCTTCTTGGCTGTCATATCTGTCCATTCACCTACTATATGTATCAAGTTCAAATCTAATGTACTGTCATTTAACATCATTTGTGAAGGTCAAGCGACAGAGGCCACTTGTCACGTCAATTAAATGCTGACTTGTGTCAGTGGGCGGCTTTTTAATCCCTGGTAAAAAGAGTCATGGGTCTCCACTTTGAGCAAGATAAATATGTTTCGTATAAAGTAATGATAAAACTTTTTTTAGCCAATAAAATTTAAAACTCCACTGCAAACATCGTTATTTCAAGCTATGCATAAAGTATTTGTTTACAGTACCCTCACAAACCTTCTCTGTTGGACTGCAGTAACTAATTGTAGGGTTCCTTGGTTATTTGTTCTGTATCACAAATTTAAATCAATTAACATGCTAAAAATGCTCAGAATTATGAAGTTGATGGATATTTTAATTTTCTGAGTTTAAATCATCCTATTTAAGTACTGGTCTATGTTTTAAAAACATTTATAGAAGGGAAATCTGTGGAAAACCTGTTGTTTGATGCAGTTTCAGCATTTGTTTTTTATAGAGGAAAAATTAATAAGATGATAAAATATCATTATGTCTAGAGTTTTGAACAAAACACTGACCTGAACTCACTGTAATTGCAAAACTCTAGGATATAGTACTTTCACACACAAATGTCCATATTCACATTTACATCAATTTAATCTCCAGTTCTTTGAATTCCTTAGATTAACTATAGAGACAGATTAACAAGCTATTAATCTTTCAGCTACAGAAATTTAAAGACATGATTCATCCATAAAAGTGACCAATTTAAAATTAAGATCTACCTCTATTTATTTACCCTTGACATTTTTAGTGTACTGGGCTAGCAATTCATCCTCTCCTCTCAGTCTCTTTTAGATCTCATATATGTTGTCTCAAATAAAGCAGCCCTTATCCAAAAACACCCATACCAAGCAGGTGTTTCTTTTGTAAATTTGTTGTTATCAAAAAAATTATCAAAGTTGTAATTTATGAATGCAGTCTTTCAGTAATATCAAATTGTTAAAATAAATTATGAATGACAGTAGGTTAAAAGTGTTGTTTTTGTGTTCTTTATTCTCGATATTTTTATTTTACTGCATTTTATGTGGCAATGTAAACGGATGAAATTCATAAATCAAACTTAAATCAGATTTGCTGTCTAAATACACAGCCTCACTAATACAAATAAAACAAATTTGACTTTGTAGTGATGCAACAATTATTTATGATTTATTTTTTGTTGGCCATGATTTAATGGGTGATGCATACTGACTTGGTTAAGATTTGAAGAATAAAACTAAACTTATTCGAAATCTTCCATAGTCTTAGATTTAAATGGAGATACTCTCTCAGAAACAACTGACTTGAAGTGCACTGTTCTTTGTATTTAGTAGAGAGACTGACAGGAAAATGAGCTAATGGTGGACGGTGATAAATTGCTAATGTGACTAATGCTTTGTTTTGGATGGTCAACAACTACCTCCCAGTGGGATAAAATGGCCCAAGCCTACAGGCTCAATATGTCTGTCTAGAGGACAAAGGGTTATGTGATTGTACTGTGGTTCATTACTGTCAACCATAAAAGCATAGTGAAGTTCTTTGTGGCTGGCATTGTTTATTGGGTTTTGGCTGCACTATGTGTCTAATTTAATAGATTAATTAAAATTTAGTCTAATACTTGTTTTCACAGAATTTGCCATGTACTTATTAACCTAGCCCTTGCATGTTTTCATTTTCTTCAATGGCCCAACTAGTTTGTTGACTCATGCATTAACCTTTAATGTGTCTATATGCAAACATACAAGATTAAAACCACAAAAGCTTTATTCTCAGAATATAATTTCCCCAAAACCAAATGCATTAGAAGTCCAAGGAGTGACTAACTACTTCAGATATTCAGTGACTGGCCTAGGACTCACACCGCTGCTCTGCCAACACAGTCCTGAGGGCATCTGGGATGGGGCCACTGGTCTTCACATTAATAACAAGCAAATCCATCCAATTTCCATTTAAAATGACTCTTGTTAGTCCTATCTAACACACACGCTGGAGCAGAGGTAAGCAGCAGAATGCATTCACCTCACTGGTTCATCCATGAACAGTGCAGTAACAGGCTCGGTAGTAATGTATCGCACTTATTTTGAAAGTAACTTTCAAGGTCACATTATTCTCTGACTGAATGCAATAACTAAAAGAACAAAACAAACGTATGCTTTTTATAGAAAAGCTTGTATCAATGTCTATGGCGAGAAGGTAACTAAAGTTTGGAGTAAATAATATTTTTTGTTATCGTTGTTCACCTTACATTTTTGGAAAGGATATCTACAAAAAGAGGACGGGGATTTACAGTCATAAAGTATAGCAGTTTCAAACAAACCTGTGTTTTAAGTAGCTCTATATTTTCTGTGCTTTAAGTCAGACCCCAATATTTCCCTAGCATGGCACGAGTCCTTAAACAAAACCATGAAAATGTTTTAAGATGTCTTAGACGCCACAGGAGAATTTTGTATTGGAGATAAAAATGTGTTCTCATGACGCATATCACTGCTACAAATTCTACATTAACACATTTGTGATTGGCAAAATGCATTATGTGGATTCAAATGATTACATTTGGCACACTGGATGGGCATGCATAATGGTAATATACTAAACATGAGTATCCAGATTCAAAACAATGTATTGATTTCTTCCTTTGCTCATCCTCCACCATTTTCATTAAATTAGGCGTGGAAGTTTTCTTTATTCATTTTCTTTCATATTTTTTAGTTTTGTTTAATCTGACACTGAGACACCACACAAACAGGCAAACAAAACTGTCACAAAGAACTTCACTATGCTTTTATGGTTTTGCCTCCTTGGTAGATAAAAAGCAGAACATAATTTCTGATATAATAAAAAAATGGTCTTAAAATAGCTGAGGCTTAATTTTAAGGCAAGTACAATGCTGCTAGTCAGATGTTAAGATTATAGCTTTATATCAGTTCTCACTCACTAGTAATGGGATCTCATTAGCAAAAAGAAACATTAAATGCAAATTGAAGATTCTATTATGTTTTAATAGTCCATATTACTTCCTGTTGGGCCTTTTATTCCTTTTAGTGAAGTTATGTTGCTTGCAAAAACTGCTGAATGTAGTTACTTTGTATTTATTTCAGTTGTAAACACTGATGAAGCCTTGGACAGCACATGTAACCCACTGAGAATCATCGGGATGATACTTAGATTTTACATCTTCAGATATGTGGCTAAGTTTTGCTTAAAATAGACAAAAGAGAAGAATGCATTTAGACAGAAGATCCTGCTGCTACAGTAGATTTTTAAGTTCCCTGCCCCCTATGGAGCAGCTACCCCCAATCTGAGTAAAAGCACATTTTTTCCAAGAATAATGGATCTGTAAGTTAATGTTTCTTTTCCCACTTTTTTTTTCTATAGCAAGAACACAGGACCAGAAAACATCTAGCAAAATATATAACTGTTTCTAAATATTACAACGAAACCACAAAACAGTAATTACTGTATCCAAGACTTCTCAGTGTCCTCAAGGAAAGCAGCGTTGAATCATATAGGCATGTGGCTCTTTGTTATTTATTGCAGTAATAACTAGGTACAGTCTGGCAAAAACTTTGTTTGACATTTATTTCACATATATTCTTAACTGTGCATTCTTAAAGTCCTTCATTATTGGGGCTGCACTCACCCACTTGAAACCAAAAGGGAAAAAAGGAAGTATTGTTATTATTGTCATCAACAACTCCATATTCACTGCCAAAGTTATTAAGTGTTTACTGAGCCTTAATTGAACTCAGAGTAATAATCTAGTGTCGGGCTTCAGATCACTAATGTGACATCATTAATGGGAAATGGATGCCAGCTTGGCACAGTCAAGCTACCTTGGGGTAATGTTTTGATTAATACTGATTCAAGCTCGCTCTCCTTCCTCGTGATAAATAGATGGGAATCATGACAAGACTTCACATTCTTCCTATCCCCCATCCACAGAAAGCAGTAAAGCTGTGTGTTGTTAATGATGTGAATTTATCACAGTAAGATGAATGTGACGTATTTCAACAAACACATACAATATAAAGCACACTATAGCATGCACAAGTCTACAAAAACATCCCATGATGAAGATTAAGGATGCACATGTTCAAAGACTAAGATTTTGTAAGTCAAAAAATCCAATAAATGTGTACTGAAATGAGATTTTTGAGCTCTAGGCTAGATTAAAAAACTTCTAGTCATTCTTGCCCACTCCAGTGTGAAAAAGGCCTGTGTCAGATTCATCAGTCTCCTACAATTTCTGGTGCATTGTTTAGTAAGGAAGTTTCAGAGGAGCACAAGATGAGCAAATCCCCCCATGCACAGTGCAGCAGCTGATGAGATCATTTTGAGCAGCAAAGAAAAAATAAGGAACTAGAAACCAGTAAATCCGTGTATAGCAACTCATTGAGAAATGAAGCCTTAGTAATCTGATCCAACATGAAGCCTTTGTCAGGG